TTACAAGACTGCGAAGACTGGGGACTTTACAACTCTCCTCTGCTAAGGGCAGGCCACACCAGATGAGAGTGTTTGTCCAAGGAACAGTGGGATATAGGGAAAACTCTTGTACTAAACCTGGCATCATTCACTTAAATGCACACGACAGACATCTCTAAGTACACCTTGTCTGGAGGCCAAACCTCCCCAAGGACCTTGAGGGGCACAGGAACAAAGGTTAAGGGTATAACAAAGGCACAAATAAAGGTGGATAAAGACAACTCCCATCTAGGAATGGGAACTGCCACATTTGAAATGGAGAAACAACTATGGAATTTAGTGAACTAAAATCTGAATAAACTCTGTGATGTTGTCCATAGTCACCAAACCTGAGTTCAAGTAGATCAGGTGAAAGAAAAGGCAGCCAGAAAGGCAGGGAATGGAAATCCTTCTTACCAAAGAACACCAGAACTGGGTTTCTCTAAATCCAGCAAAAGGAAGGCTGGAAGGAGTCAGGCTGATGTCCATAAAATCACACTGAGGACAAGCAGACAATGGGTCAGCCAGCAGGGAAGAGACTGGACAAGAAAAAATACAATGAAAACAACGAACTAACAAATGACAGTTCCAATTGAAAGTAAGTTTTCTAATTATTCCAGAAGCAAAGATCTGGAAAGGTTTGGGTTTTTCTCCCCAGAGGAGAAACCTGTGTGTGTGTGTGTGCACGTCTTGTAACAGGAGGAAACAATCTGTATTTCATAAAAAGTTTGACTGACTTATGAAACAGTTTGTAGTGTCTGATTGCCAGTGGTGGCAGAAGACTTGACCTCAAGACTTCTTCCAAATCCTCTGTGTTACGTTCATTGCGAATTCAGCCTTGCAGTTCCCGAGTTGAGCACAGTCTTTTTTTGGTTAAATCGTATCTTCCAGAAATGCCAACCTATCCCAGTCAGACCTCATTCTACCTAGTGCCTGGATCCAAGCTGGGGATTGTTTTCCGCCACAAAGTCTCGGAACTGTCTGGGAGTTACTCTTCTCCTCCACTGACACACGGCTGCAAACAGGGACCATTTTAAGGCACATAAGTGCTTCAGCCCTGGCATCTTCTACAGTGGTTATTTTAATGCCTGAATTTTGTACATAACCCTGGTTCCAGGTAGCAAAGCCCCATGCCTGTTATACTGGGCATTTGTCTAGTTCAGAAGGGATAATCAGATTTGCTGTGGAGTGTTTTGTTTAAACAGGGAATTTTCTCTCTGCCAATCACTCCTCTGCTGCTTTTGGCTCCTTCTCTCTGCGAAAGCCAACAAGATTATTGTGTGACAGAGCAGAACCAGATGACTCTGGTCCACTCTTGGAGCAGGGAAAGGAAACTCTGCAGGTAGTTCTGCATTTGTGCAAGAAATCATTCCACAGGCTTGCTCCTTGGTCCTCAGGGAAGCTCCAGATCAGACAGAATTCACAACTGAGACAGTGACCGATGATGAACAAGCAGCAATCATACAAGTCATTAATCTCTATCATTTTGTGGGGCATGTGTGTCCAGACTGTGCCTTATGCCCAAACTTGGAATTGTACTTTCACAGGAAGGGATCACAATCCCACCTCCAAACCAGAGGGTCACAGAGCAAGGAAGGTGTCAGAACACTGGTCCAGAGAAGTTGTGACTGCCTCATCCCTGGAAGTGTTCAAGGACAGGTTGAACAGGGCTTGGAGCAACCTGGTCTAGGGGAAGGTGTCCCTGCCCATGGCAAGGGGTGGGACTGGGTGACCTTTAAAAGGTCCCTTCCAATCCAAACCATTCTATGATTCCATAGAGAACACAAAAGGCCCTTTAGCACTTCAGTAGGCAAAAACATTCCAATGGCAAGAAATTAAAAGCCAGACTAATTAAAACAGAAAATATGGCACATTTTTTCTTAGTCAAGGGGAACTTTGGTCATTTTAAAAATTTAGAGAAACGTGAGTGTTGTGTCTTTTTCAAACGTCAAAAGGACTCTGCTCTATCATACTCCAGTCAAGCCAGGGTGAGCAAACACAGGTGACATGACCTCTCCTGCATTACACAGGAAGTTTACTAATCTTTTCTGGGTTTAAAATTTTTGGGTCACATTGTCGGAAAATCAAATTTGCTACAAAATAATTCCGAGCCTGACAACACCCCGATGGAGCCCATGGTCACCCTGTAAACACAAAGCCAGAGCGAGGGGCAGAGCTCCACATGTGCAGCAGCACCGAGCAGCCCATGGGGAGGGACAGGATGGCTCCTGATGCATCCCAACAATGCACACCGAGGGGCTACCCTTTCCACATCCCTGCCGAGCATGGAATGCTCCAGGAGGGACAGGACTGCTCCTGACACATCCCAGCACTCCACACTACGTGTGCCAGCCTTTCCACAGCTGAACTGCCGAGCACAGGATGCTCCAGGACCAGGCTGTGCTGTCACATCTGCCACTGGCAAACACTAACTGGTGTCAGGCCTGAGGCTGGCATTCCAACACAAATGGTAACATTCCTGAGCAGTTTCCACAGGATGAGTCTCCTTCAAGGAGAAGACCTGACTCACTCCTGACTGTGGACCAACAGGACGTGACACCTGAGCAGTAGCAGCAAAGAAATCAACGTCCAAGAGCTCTGACCACCTTCAATCCTTCCCAGGGAGGGAACTGGGCAGCTCCCCCTGCCCAGGCAGCCCAGGGCAGAGGGGAAGACAAAATCCCATCAATATTCCCCAGACAACAGTTCAGGTCCAACCTCACACCATCAAACAGCCACTGCACATGCTGCTTTTCTCCTCCCAAAGCCTCCCTACATCCCACTACAGTCACTTCTGCGGGGCAGATGAGGATGGAGACAAAACACTGGGAACAGAGTCAGCACTGGAATCCAGATATCACACAGAACCCCATTGGCACCAAAAGCTACAGGAGCTCTGGGCATCCCTGCTGCACACCAGCACCAGGCTCCCACACCCCAGTGCTGGGTGCTGGCAGAAGCTTGGCACATGTCTCCAGTTCTGCCCTGGCAAGATCAGTCTCTGGTACAGGATTATGGTTCAGGCTTAAGGAACACACAGCCTGTAGTTCCTTCTCTCTAAGAGCTGCATTAAATTATACAAGGAATGTGACAGCAGCATCGTGGACTTAAACCATGCTGCTCAAGGGCACCAGGCTCTCTGCTCTGCAGTGGCCTTGCTCAGTTTCCAGCAGCCCATTGGTTCTTCTCAAGGACGTGGAATCATCCCTGAACATGAGGCAGATGTGATCTGGAAGTGTTCAAGGTCAGGTTGGGTGGAGCTCGGAGCAGCTTGGTCTAGTGAAAGATTCCCTGCTAAGCACTCCTCAAAGCTGTAGGACAATCAAATGTCCCAAATCAACTTCCCAAAGCTGGTCTACTCTGGTGTGACTTCACCATGACTCTGGGGGTTCTCTAGCATGCTGGTCCTTGGGAGCTGCACAACCACATTCCTCTTCACAGAGAGGGGACAGATCCACACAAAGGGGGCTGTGCTGAGGGGACACCAGAACAAACCTGGGGCCTCCAACCAGCCCCACTGAGGAATCACAGAATCATTTAGGTTGGAAAAAACTTCCAAGATCATTGAGTCCAACCTGTGACTGATCACCACCTTGTCAACTAGACCAAAGCACTGAGTGCCACGTCCAGTTGTTTCACCCAACACCTCCAGAGAAGGAGTTCTAGGCTCTTCCATTAGATGCAGGTGGAGCAGGAGCCAAGGAAAAGGTGGGCAGACTGTGTCTGAGACAAGACTAAGGTTCCTAGGACACAGCACCCCAAGGAGCAGGAAAACTCTGCAAATGGAACAGGGCATCCAACAGCTGGAGAGAAGGACTGGAAGCAGTGACTCCCCAAAGCAAAGGGGAGGAGGGATCAGGAAGCACCGGTTTAGGCTCAGTTTTAACCTGAGTGACAGAAGATTACGCAAAAGAGAAATGCAAGAAATGTTACTGTGGTTTTCAGGGACCTAGAGATGGAGAAAGATGGAGAAATCTTCAGTACCCACTAACAGGGGACCACACCTGAGCCAAATCATGTTCTGCCCGAGTGGAAAAGATTCATCATCTCCCTCCCAGAAAGCCTAATCCAAAACCAAGGAAAGTCTCCATTTTACACCTGAGGAAGCAGCAGAACCAAGTTCTTGTAGAGGCCCAGGCCAGCAGTCCCAGGTAACACACTCAGGTAACACACAGGTCTGGTGCCCCTGCACTGTCCTACAGGAGAAACCTCTGTGAGAGCTGGTGGCACCCACACAGGTTCTGCCTCTTGCCAGTGGCAGCAGCACTCTGCTTCCAGCAGCTCCTTGAAAACCTGCCTGCAGAAAGCCACTGACCCCACAGAGCAGGCACTGAAAACCTGCAGACAAACCCAGGAAGCTGATCACAGTCAGGGGATAAGCCAAGGTAGCCAGACACAAGACTTTAACCCTTGACACGGACACCATCCCCGTGCCAGGGACTTTGTGGCACCTTAGTGCCACCTGCCCCTTTCTGACACCCCAAGGTGCTGCATGTGAAGCCTTGAGGGGGTTCTGGAGGTGCTGCAGGAGATGCACAAATCATTGTCTCCAGTCTGCCTTCTTCAGGCAGCGGCACAGTGTAATGAGTCAGATCCTCCTCCCTATCCCTAAGGGTCACACACAGCACTGATTCCTGAGGCCTCTGCTCCTCCAGGGTTACCTACACTTCCAGAAATAATCATTTATTTAATTCACTTCTCCCTCAGTACACAGCAAATAGGAACTTCCCCCTCAGCCCCTTTAGTTTTTTACATCCACTTCACTCCTGCTCTGCAGCAGCCACTCTCACCTCAGGGATGGGAAAGGAGGGAAAGGGGAAAGCAGGGAGGAAACGATCATCATGTTTGTGATCAGCCAGGTCCAGAAGCCACTTGATCCAGAGAGATCAGAGTTCCCCCTACAACAATGGGTGAGGCCGGGAAGCAAATCAAGCAGACTGGATGATTTTTGGCAGAGAGAGAACAGTAGGAGTGGTACAGACCTCTTCCTCCTCAATGCGAGCAGGTTCAATCAGCAGATTATTGGCTTGATCAAACGACACCCCCTGTTAGGACAGGAACCAGCAAAGAGGCATGCGGATTAGTGGAGCATCAACCAAACCCGCCACCACGACCACCACCACCACCCAACACACGCACGCCACGCCGGCAGCCTGGGCACGGCACCGGAGCTGGGCCAGCTCCAGAGTCACTCCTGACCTCCACTGCTCCAGAGTCACTCCTGACCTCCACTGCTCCAGAGCTGAGCCAGCTCCAGAGTCACTCCTGACCTCCACAGCTCCAGAGCTGAGCCCACTTACAGAGTCACTCCTGACCTCCACTGCTCCAGAGCTGGGTCAGCTCCAGAGTCACTCCTGACCTCCACAGCTCCAGAGCTGAGCCAGCTCCAGAGTCACTCCTGACCTCCACTGCTCCAGAGCTGACCCCACTCACAGAGTCACTCCTGACCTCCACAGCTCCAGAGCTGAGCCCACTCACAGAGTCACTCCTGACCTCCACTGCTCCAGAG